TTTTCTGCCGAAGCTCGAATCGAATCTCGAATCTCTCGTATGTTCCTACCCAACGCACAGGACTTGTAGCGTTTGACACTGTCTGACGGTGCTGCATCCGTCACCCGAGAGGATAGGCGGCCACCGAGACCGACTGAACTAGTCTATGTATGTAAAACTACAGCTGCTTCGCGTTGCTGCACGGTTCTGCGGTTTAACTCCCCATTTTTTGCGAATCATTTGCATCATAGATACGATCGGTGTTCGACGTCTGCTCCGGAGGCGCCTGGTCGTCGGATGACGGGGTGACCCTGAAAGTTGGCTCTTATTTCTAAGGTTTCTGAGGTGCCATAACTTTCATGTAACGTCCTTAAAGGGTCGACAATATACAGCTTTCGAAACATTTTTAAACCCGGATTGTAGTGCAGCGTCAAAATCCTATTATTTGCATAAACTCAATCCTCGAAATAATTGTTTCTAAATAATGGAAAAGAGTATATGGTTAAAGGTTAACATGGTCAAGTATGTCGCCCTCAAAGTAAACATCGTTTAAAGTCATCGCTAGCTTCCCTGCGTTGTGATGGAAAGTGATTCAAAATATGCTTGTGATTCTACACCTTTTAGTACTTCTTTAGGATACTGGAAGATGGTAGAGATTTCCTGAAGTTGCAACGTCCGATTGAACATAAAATCTGCCACGTAAGTATTTTCTGCTGGTCATTTGCGCGAAATATTGGGCGCTTGAAAAGCACGTTAATCTGATCGTCTCATATTTGGTCATTCGAGCTTCTCAAAGATATGTAGGGGACTGTAGCCTCAGCTGAGACTTAGGAAGCTGTCAATTCACTCATCTGCAGAAGAGGTTTGCTAGCTTAGCTTCAGGCACAAGGCACCATTCTTCACCAACCATTTGCTGGCTTACTGCAAAATGGTTTTGCTGAAACTACCTGTCATGGCGATTTTCAGGAGAAGTAAAATCAGCGCTGCGGAAATACCTGACGATGCTGCAGCAGAAACGATCAAAACAGCCTTTCGCCTCTAACTGGTTCTTCTAAACCACCCATTTCGCATGAATTTTATAAAATCAGTCTCTGATTATCCGGCGAGTCTGAATGAATTTAAGACAAGATGTATAATTCTTCATGTAACTCTTCATACTCAGAGCGCGCATGCTTTTGGCACAGCCATAGCGAGAGCGACTAGGGACAGAGTACAAATCAGCGTACTCGATTATACAGTAGACTATTTTCACGACTTTGAATCTAAACCTCTTATGTTGACCGTTTGAAGTGGTGTCAGCACTATTGGGAGGGTCTCCGCAGGCAATTGCCCGTGCAACCTTCCCGGAGTTCGAAAATGAATGGATGGATGGATGAATGAATGAATGAACGAATGAATGAATAAAGCTATGTGTATCGCCGCAGCAGTAGGTAGGAGGACAGTCACGATAATGTTTGCATTGTAATTGAATGATTAACCTGATCTGTGGCTGACTTTCTCCGTAGAGTTAGACCTTCCTCGAATGGATCGACATTTCTGACCATGTCAAATATTTTGACAGGGTTAATATAGTATAATTGCAATTACGAAATGTCTGAAGAAAAATTTAGACTAGTTCAAAGCTTTGCAAAACGCATAACTGTACTGATTTAAACAGTTATAAACGATACTGACGAAAAAACGTTGTTCAGTCCATTAGCTTCTAACTTATGATACTTTAGCACTGCTTAGATTTCGCTATGCAATAACGGTAGATCGGAGTACTAATTCAAAGATTTCCCAGTGCTACTTCAGTTCTAAATACTTCTTTCGCTACTTAATTTTTCACAGAGATTTCTTATTTCTCTCTCTGTCATCGTCATCTTATAATCGTAATAACTGATTTTTAAAATAATTTTTTTAATTTATATTCGAGGACGTTCGCTGCTGCTGTGAGAAAGTTCAGTTTCTTCTTTACAAGCGGATCCGCTTTAACGAGATGATTCTAAGTATCGTTAACTCCTCGAGTATATTTGTGACC